ATGATCAGTAAAAATTCAATGCACTATGTTTCTTGAAAAATATAGATGTTGGAAAATAGTCCTGTTATGTTCTATCTTATTGCACATGTATTCAAATAGTTTTTTCTGAGAGAAAATCATTTAAATGTAACAGATGATAACATCAGTATAAACCCAGATTGCACAAAACACACAAATGTTTGACATGTCTGGGGTAAGGGTAGATTATGTACAGCAAAGCAGTGACATCATGGGAACAATTTCAGCACATACCCTCTAAATCCAAGAGCTCATAGTTAAGCACACAGGAGTCATCAACTCCAATGGTAAGAGAGCCAGTGTTTCAAGGAATCATGATATCACCAAGGTAGTTTCAGGTAGACAAATGCCAAAAAATATCTTTACATGCCAATAATTTGAAGATTCAGTGTGATCTGGCTTGGCTCAAGTTTCACATTCCAATGTGAAGATCCAAGCATGGATGTCTTGTAGGTGTCCAGCGAAACAGACAATTTTTTCTGACTGGATGCAGACATTTTGTGTTACAGTGGATTCGGTTAGAAAACCTATGCATCACTTCCTATCACTGTACGCTTTGTACGTTGTCACTTTGTACACTTCTTTGCTAAATTCACTAGCAGATTAATTAAAATAGCCAATTGTCCATCAAAACAGCAGTATGTCAAGAAAAAGGAACACTACTGTATATTACAACATATTGTACCATATAGTATAAGGAAAATTACTGGGTATGCACTTTGAATTCCGGGTGGTTACACACACGGCCAATACAAATGTTATGACATATAACTGTTTAAAATCAGACCCAATCTACCCGATTGCACCCAAAACTTACCTCTGTGAGCATGATCAGACTGCAAGGTCTGCCCACGCAGGGATGATCAGTCAATAGCAACACAACTGAATCCAAAAGAAAGACCCACACAAAATGCATACATCCCCCAAGCCCCATAGTAATGCTGCGATGCCGAAGTCCAACCTAGGTTATAGAAACGCGTTTTCAATACGTCACTTGTGCGCCGGAAATGTGGTGAAATATGACGAACCAGCCGGAATCGGTCAGCACCATTCCTCACGTTGTTTACATGGGTCGCCTAGAAACGCATGTACGAAAAAAGATATGCGCGCCACATGGACCATGGGATGCTTCCATTTCCAAAGTCAAAGTGCACTTCAAAAAGAGCCACTGTAGTAAACCTCACAAGAGAGGAATCAAAACTCTATATATATATATATATCTATATCTATATCTATATCTATATATATGTATATATATATGTATATCTATCTATCTAATCTATCTATCTATCTATCTATCTATCTATATCTATATCTATATCTATATCTATATATATGTATATATATATGTATATATATATATATGTATGTATATGTATATATAACGCTTTTTTCAATCCGCGGGATGATGGCTTCATGTTCGCACATGCTGTTGGCTAAACAGGTAAGTTTTCGTAGCATTTATAACACAAACATTTCGACACATTAGCGTGTTACAAACATCACAGAACACACAGTTAGAAAAAGTAACACAATTAAATGCAGTGTCCTAGAATTGCCGACTTTGGGTGTAAAGCATCACCCTATGAGGAGTAATTTTTCACTCCTTTTCCCCAAATTGTATGTGAATTTTTCACTCCTACCTGACATTGTCTAATCGCACATGCCAAACCCCTATTTCCGTTTCTGATGTTTTCAGATGTCATCAAAAACAGAGCTCACTTGAAACCACCAAGCATAAACGAGGCTCCGCAGAACCTGGACACCTATGGCTATGTCCTGCCTCACCTACATCTGAATCATGTCTATGCATGCACAGAGCAAGGGCGCCAGGTACCTCCAAGCCCAAGAACCCCAGCGACTTCAGCCGCTTCCACGCATGAAGTTTGGTTTGTTTACAAAATGCATCACAATCAGCAGCTGTGTGCCAGCTGCAATGTTTTCACGCATTCACTTTTTTGGCCTCACTACCACACTACGAAAGCAGAGCCTGGTGCAAACACCAGCAAGGCTTGGTAGATAACTTTACTCCACTTATTTCTTTCTTCTTGATGAAACTTGACCACTAAATTGCATCACTCCCGAAGTGCAGGAGCTAAAAAATTCAAGAAATGTCTTCTTTCTTAAATTTACAGGATGAATGTCACCATTTGAGCACTCATATCAACAAATTTTAAGTCAAGTCAGCTACTAACAAAATTTTGCGAGAAAAGTATCAGTCTTAAGATTTATTTAACTACTTTTGTTTTTCTTGGTATGATACGAGTGTGATACCACTTTGTTCTTCTTTCCTTTTTTATTGCTTTTAGAGGTATCATCTGTTGCTTAAAATGTTGACCAATTTCTCTGCAAGCTGCTCCAACTGCAAACTTGTACGTATTTCATACATAAATTAGATTAATTCTCCAACCGCCCAAACATGTTTGATATGCGCCCAAGAGCGAAGAATTTACAGTGAATGAAGGAGACAATTTGAAGCACGGAACTTATTTTTACCGCCATTTTTTGCCCTGTTAAACACTCGGTTAACCGTTCTCTTGGTTCATGGCGGTGCTCAATAATGGTAAATATAGGCCTTTCGAGTGTCTAACTCGCCAGGCTACCTGACAAGGCTATCAAATGCTGACATATAGAGCTTTGGGACAAACCTGACGCAGCTAGTGCAGAAGTGTTTGATGGCGAAATTCTGCCCCCGGAGATGTTTATCATGCACATCTCTTACTTGTTTCACATTTTAATCTCGTAGGTTGGTGGGCATAATTGATATTTATATTTGCGGGGTGAGTGGGATAACTGTTTGCCAACAGACCGTGCAAAAGGTACTTACTTTTTATTTTCGGGGAGCAGGAAGAAGCCAGTAAGTCTCCTGTGGACCAAGTAATTGCTTACCTTACCTGCTTTCAACACATGATTGGTAGCCAGAGTTAGCCATTTTCTGTTTTAATCCATCGAGTTTTGTCATAAGACAAATTATGATACCACAAGGCATGCAATGGGCTTACTTTGTTCCATATTCTTGATTATTTGCCCCAAATTTCTTGAAGTGATCCCTCATGGCTGCTTTAAGCAGATGTTTTTTTACAGTTGTCATGGTTTGCTGACTGGAAAATGACTGTACTGTATATATGCATTATATTTTTAACACAGGGATACTCTAAGCTGAATAGCAATTATAATATGAGTTAAATATTAGAATGTAAAAAATATTCAGACCATCCCGTTTAAAATGTGAAGCCAACATCTCAAACTTTGTCATTTAATATGAATAAACAAGCCTAAATAGATGTCTTTGCTGCAGCTGAAAAGGCAAACAACAATACTGGCATTGTCATCTAAAGGTCATGTTACTTTTGGCGAAGAGAGATTGTTTTGTGGAGCACACTCATTATTGCCCTTGACAGAGGTTAACCATGGCAATCAAAATAAGTTGTTTAAAGCGATTTTAAGTGTGTTGATTTGTGTGCTGTCAACTTTGTCTGATGCTAACAAGCATGCACAAATGCGCTGAATAAAAATGCAAGTTGAAACCAGATAAAAATTAGCTTTATCATGTTTTTATCACAAGTGCTGCTGTCAACAGATAGGTGAGTTGAGATGATGTTCA